GGATTAGGGCTGCTAATCATATGCACATAATTCTCAGATGAATGTGGAGATTGGTGAGAAGCTGCTGATGTCACAGCAACGCTTACAGCTCCCTAAAGCAAGTAAAAGCAACAATTACTCCCATGCCTTTCCACAGGACTAGAAAGATCAAATGGCTTCACAAGCAAGATATTGCTCAGATTCCTTTCACGCTGCAAAATCAAATATACAGGAGAATTGTGTGTGCTGGTTTGAACTTTCCTTGAAGGAAAGATAGGGCTTTAACTGTAATATCCACCACAACAAAATAGTTGTGGCAGGCAGACATAAGCAACATTATTTCAGAAATTGCCAATACATAACATAAAAGACCTTTGAGAAGCTCGCAAACAAGATATGAACACAATGGCACCTTCTACTGCTGTTCCCCAGCAGCTGGTATTCACTAGCACCAACTGATAATCTTGCTCTCCATGAATGTATCCAATCTATTTTTTAAAGCCTTCCACATTGGCAGCCCTTAATTACATCTTGGGATAGCAAATTCCATGGTATAACTATGCAACTTCACTGTGTGAAGAAAGCACCCTTTTCCTAAGTTTTGGTATATTTTTAATGGGGATCAAATGGCCAGATCCAAATGCCTGGTTCTATGGGTACTTCATGCTGTTACCATGTCAAAAGGTGCATCCTTCCAAATGGTAAGATCATTACTGGATTAGCAGGTGGATGGCTGCTGCCAGCAATGCAGTACATGTCATATTTTACATCGCTGCTTTAGCTTCACACATTACAGGCTGCTTTGGGATTGGCTATCAAGGCCATTCTTACCAGAGGTTCCATTTGCTGTTTTATGTAATGTCATGCTGCCAGCAGCATCATGAGAAGATTGCCGTGTACTATCAGGTGAGCCTTTAATCTTTCTGCTTAATGCATTATTTGAACTCAACTTAAGGCCAATACCATGCAAGGCATTCAAAATATCTCTACAGGCAAGCAATCCTGTATATACAACACAGCAGATGTACACAGTAAATATATACACACTAAAATTATGCTGACAATATTAGAGCAAGTTGGAATTAACAGACACTATTCTCATATATGAATAATGTGGGGAAAAAATCTGAGAATAACTGTTTATAGCAATTATATAACTGTCCTTTTGAAAAGTGGTCAAATGTTTGCTTATAGTTATTCCACAGTGGTTTGCTAGTTTGCAACTAATTAAGTATATTTAACATTAAATTACTGAGGACAGTGTGGATGTTGGTAAATTTGGTACACTTTATTTTCTTGAGCATACTGATGTGCTGTTAACCTGCCAAAGTCTGTGTTTAGTGTTTCTTTTTAAAGGATGTGAAAATTATAGTTGCCCCATTCACAAGGGCTGCAAAGGTAGAAGCTTCTGGGTATACCACTTAGCTCACAGACGAACTGGCACTTATGCACAAGGTGCCAAATGTGAAGCCCTTTACTGCTAAAAAGTCTTCCCTCTAAGCAGCAGATCTACTTTATAGCCACGTTAGGAAGACTGCATATTGTGGTATATCTTTGCCACCTCACAAAATCATGCCCCGTGCATTTGTTTACAACAACACAGCCTCTATCTCTATCATCAGGATTCACAACTCTTACTGGAAAGCTGAAGAGTGGGGGGAAATCTACAGGTTTACAATGTCTTAGCCAGACGTATTTTGAGGAGTGATTTACAAGTGACAATTTAGCTATTCAGTACTAATGAAATCTCTTACCTATAAGGTGCTCCACACAGAGTTGCCATAACATTTAAATTTGTCTGCACTTAAGATAGTAACATAAGTTGTACTTAATGCAGGATTATAGTCTTTCACTAGAAGTGAAAATCCACTGTTTTTAGAATTTTTAAAATAACTAATAAAAATATTATGAACTGCTCAGTATATAGCAATGAGAGGAGCAAGAGCTAATACGCAATGGTAGCTATGGTGTTGGACCAGCTTCAAATCCCCACTAAACCATGAGATTCAATGGAAGACCTTGGACAATCACTAGCTTTCAGCCTAACCCACCTCACAGCTTCATTAAAGAGTAAAAATACAAGTGCTTGGTGTTGGATAAAAATACTGGGAATAATTGTGCAATCTAGAGACCTGAATGGGACTTACTTTTACATATGAGATTACCACCTAAATGAACGTTAATTGTGTCAATTTCCTGAGGAATCCAGCACTGGTCTTTCTATGTACATCCTTGCTGCTAGTGCTTAAGCTCTGCTGGAAAACCCTAGCAAGCTACTTTGAAAAATACATTTAGGAGGAACAAAAGAGTTTTGTGGCACAGTAAAAACTAAACAATTTATTTTGTTATTAACATTGGTGGATTAGGCTCCACTTCTTCCAGTGCTTATTCTCTGAACAATTATTGGAGATTACAAATAGAAACATATGCAGTGTGTCAAATGGAAATCTGGAGCTGATGCTCAAGAATAGCTCTTCTTACACCTTGCCAGTACAACCAGGGAGAATAGAGACTATGCCAGATACACAACTATTCCTTTTCTGGTCTCTACAATGCTAAACACAGTTGAGCCATAGAATCATGAAGGTGGCAGGAGAGGGGCATCTAGATCAGCCTCTGCTCAGTGCAGCTTCCTTGTCACAACAGCGCCCCCCCACAGACAGCTGCCTAGCCTTTGCTTAGATGCCTCCAGCAACAGAGCCCACCATATCCTGAAGCAATCCATTCCACAGCCAAATGGCTCTCACCATTATGGTGTTTCTTCTGATGCTCAGCCTACATTTACTTCCCTGCATTTTCTTCCTCCTGCCCTCCACAGCAGATGAGAAGAAGTCTGTGTCATCTTCTGTGTGACATCCTCCTTAATTTTCCCTTTTTCAGTTTGAACATACCAAATTCTTTCCATTGCTCCTTACAGGACTTAGTTTCCAGAGGCCTTCCTCGTCTTCTGTTCTGGTTTCCAGAAATGTACACAATAATCCAGATACAGCCTGACCAGGGCAAAGCTATCACTTCTGGTTATCTGCAGGTTGTTCCCACCAAAGCAACAATTCAAATGACCAAACCTAATGTGCAGTACCCAAAAGTTTTGGAAAGCAAAAATTCTAGCCAGAAAGGTATGAGCAATGCTATGAGGAGAAATCAGGAAATACCTGGAAATGGCAGAGCCAAATTGAATCAATTGAAATAATCAGTTGAAAGAAAGCAACATAGAAGGTGCTTTTTTTCTGGAACACTGACTTCTTTCAGAAAAATCTAACATTATCAGTAAGTACCATATTTCTGAATAGAACTTACCATGCTGCATTTCAACAAGACCCACATTGAAAATCTGCTGGATTATACTTAGACGAAGCTTCCCATCACACAGGACAACAGCTCGTTTCTCAGGTGTTACTGTTCCAGAAGACTCCTTCTATCAAGAAGAAACATGTTAGCTCAAGTGTGCTCTTGGCAGTTTAATTTCATCCCTTGCATATAATCTTGCTTGGATAGGTTTGCTTGTGCAAGAGGGTTATGCCTGGTTTAAAAAAGACCTCTGAGCAAGCACCCAGAGCTGCGTGCACTGGGACACTTGCAGGATGAACTCCAGATAAGCATCTCTCCACCAGGCCAACAGTATTACCAACTCACTCTGTGCTGACCAGGGGCGAGGGGAGAAACCTAAATCAGGCCCATCTCTTTCTTTTTATGCTTTAAATAATTGGTACAGTCAGTCCATTTGACAGCAACTGCCACCAATTACAGGGATGGGAAAGCTTCAATTATTTACCACAAGTTCAAGAGCCACCAAGGAAACTGGGCTATAAAGAACATGCACTTAGGATATACACATTTGAAGTACTAAATGGATCCCATAGTCCTTCTACAAAACACCTCTCCCACTCACCCTAAGCTTAATTTCAGCAGCATAATTTAGGGTTGTGCAGGAAATCGCTGACCCCTTTAGCCCCCAAGGGTAGCAATCCCAGGAACCTTCATCCCTGTGTTGTTTTGTGATGTGCAAACCTGGAAATTGTGGGCTTATAAATTAAGTAATCCAGAGGTCACCCAGCAACAAACCATGGGCAACTGCTGGATTAACTCTGGATTGTTTAACCCATAGTCTTGGGGTTTGCACATCATGATATAACACAGAAACCAGAGCTGTTACCTGAAAACAGGAACTGAAATCACACATGGAACTTCTGCAGCAATTCCTGGGTAAAACAACTCAAAACTTGCTGCTGCTAAACCAGGTCACTTTGTTGTGGCTATTGCTGAATAATTGCCAAAAATCCTGGCAAATCTACTGCAACTCATCCAGAGATTTACCAGTAGTTCTTCTCTGGGGCTATTGTGTTTTGAGGGAAGGCAGAAGAAAAAAAAGCCCATGCCACCTACTCATGAAAATACCTTAAACAGGCTTGAGAGCACTATTTTGATGGCTTTGGGATTTTTGTAATATTTAAAAACTGTAAGCCACCATGGGTGACTTTCAGAAATACAGGGCAGAATGTATTAAATAAATAATGGGTAAAATAACTCCAGATTTACATTCTACCCAACTCTTATTTATCACAAAATTGCATGTACTCTGTGACTTATGAACAAGGATCTGCCAGTCAGCGCAAAGGATGATGCTAACAGACAGAGCCCCAAGTATACTGTTAGATATTTATACATTTAGCCTGTTCTTCCTCCAAGTAGCTCAGGCAGGCATACATGGTTCTTTTCCCACTCTCCTTCATTTTATCCTCACAACAATCCTGTGAGGTTGGTTAGGTTGAGATATGATGACTGGCCCAACATCACTCAGGTAGGACTCATGATGTGAAGATTTGAACTTTGGTTTCTCTAGTCCTAACCTACCAGTCTAGTTACAACATCACACTTGCCCTCAATTAAAGTTTCCAGAATTCCCAAGGATACTTCCAACCTTTCTTAGACTATATTGTAGACTTGGTCACACAGCCAGCCCCTTTGTTTGTACACATGGAGCTTCCAAAGACACTGATGCATTCCCAAATGGGGAATTTCCAGATGCTTGCATCTTCCCAGTCTTCTATGCAAGAACAGACTCACTGTGCTAGATTTTTGCTTCCCTCTCTGATTTTGCAGCAGACCAAATCCCAACAGGATTTTTCAGAAGGAAGGTACACTTTCTCAGGAGGAAGGTCACCAGCATTTTAAACACAGCTGATTACTATGAAATCCCTGGATACATATAGCTTTTGTTCAAAAGTTACCTGGTAAATGATCACAAAAGGAGGTTCATGAGAGGATGGGTATCGTGACAGAGTTTTTTTCCCAGACCTCAGCAGTTCTGTCAGTTCAAAAAGCTGCTGTTGCAGTTCTGTAAAGCTGCTGCACAGTCTTTCTAGATTTTTAGAAATGTAACTGGCCTCTTTTTCACTTCGCAGTAAGTTACTTTTTGATGAATTTGAAGTCTCATGGGAACTCTGCACTTCCTTGTTTGGCAAAACAGACACATTTGACAATCCTGAAATGGTTTCAAGTCCTTGAAGAACCAGTGATTGATTTGCTGGCTCAACATTCAATGATTCCAGGACCTGGGAGAAATCTTTAGAAATCTTTTTTTCTTTAGAATCTACCACACTCATCAACAGGCTTTGCTCAGTAGCAGGGCTCTTGATTTCTTCTATGAGTTTTCTTCCATTTTGAGGAGACTGAATAATAGGACAACCTGGGAGCAGCAATCCATCACTCAGCAGGGCAGCATCTGAATAATGTGATTCAGTGGGCTCTCTTTTCGCCGGGACATTTGCAAAGCACACCTGGGATGCTCCAGAAAGTGCAGAAGAACCTTCTTTGCCTACAACTTCTTTGATCACTAAACGAAGAAGGTACTTGTCTGAGCGTGAAGAGGGAAGAAAAGCAGGGTCTGTTAATTTCTGTTTCCCAACCAATATTAGTAACAGTTTCTCTGTCAGGAAGCAAAGTCCTTTTGGCCTCTCACTTTTTTCCAGTTGAATCTGTTGAATGTTAGGCAAGTGAGATGAAGTTAAAGAGTAAACTAAGATTATATGACAAGTATTGGAGGCCACAGCCACAGTCTGTGTTTTAGAGTCAAAAGTCATTATATCTGGGACCAGAATGCCAGGGACACTGACCTTTTTGGTAGCAGTCACTTTTCTTTCAAAACTAACCAAGATCAGGTGTGAAGCATCTTGGCCACTTCCGGTTAGGTAATCCTTGGGTTTTAGATGAATAAGAGGAGTGTTATCTGATTGCTGTTTGCTAGAAGGGAGACGGGTCAGATCCACAGGTGAAGATGCTGAATTCACGACCGGCCTAGATTTGTCTTGGTCTACCAGTTTTTTTCCACCATCAACGGAGTGCTCTTCTTCACAGCTCAATGAGGTAGTCTGTGAGGGAACTGAGTTTCCAACAACCTCCGCTGGGATTTCAAATGAAATGCCTGCATTCAAGCTACATATCTTATCTAGGGGAAGCTCAGTAGCAACAGCCACTTGAGAACTCAGCGTGGCTTCGATTGCACAGATGTAGCCTCCCACATCAAAGACTGGACAAAAAGAGCACGCATTTAAAGTTTTCTGTTCATCATCCCAAATATAGGAATGGAGGGCACTGCCTATCCCAACCACCAAACGGTCACCTTCCTCCGTCCAGCAAGCACAGTGGATGAGACCAGTGCCTTTAATATCAGCCTTTATCCGGGAGTTGTTCAGACGAACAGAGTGCAATACAGAAGTGTCCCTTGTCGTAAGCACAGCCAGGATTTCTTTTTTGGGATGCCAGACGCAGCCCTGAGGAAGTATAGGGAACAGCTCACTAATTTCACTGATTTGATAAACCATCAGTTTGTTTCTTTCAGAAATGCTGTAACAGAGTTGCCACATGGTGATGTGTTTTTTATGCTGAATAGCAAGGAGTGCAGGAACATCTGGAGTGCATGATGGACCCCAGTAGAGTCCAAGCACATGTTCAAACTGACCAACAACATTGGAGTTGCCGAATTTAGGTTCTCCATTATGTAGGTATAAAGAAGTCAGTATCACTTGCTTTCCATCTGTCCAGGCAATCCCATGCACAGGGTGGATGGCCTGGTATAAGGCATTGAGGCCAGTTCTTAGCAATTTACCTTTTCCCAATTCCATCTTTAAGTTCTAACAGAATGCATCTGTAAAGGAAACAAACACTGCTTTAAACATTGTTGATTTCTGTCATATATGACAGAAAATACAAAAAGACAAACAAGCATGATCAGGAGGTATGAGTAACACAGAATCTTCTGTTTTGTCTATTATCAAGAACTTTGCAAAGGTATTTTGTTTGCTGCTGGTAAAATCAGACTACTGGGCTTGATGGATTTTTGGCTTGATCCAGCAGGGCTGTTGTTATATTCTTTTCTGAAGTACTCACCTTTGAAAGTCAAATTCTGTACAATTAATGCTAACATCACACTGATCACTAAAAATAGCCAGATAAAGACTCCACTGAAGCTTTGGTCTTCCACAAATTAGCTAATGCACACAGTATTCATACAAATATCTTTTTTCCTTTTTCCTTTTTATTATTTTAATAACAGTAATGCTTGAAAAAGAAAGAAAATAGGAATTAAAAGGTGGAAAGACAAAACAACAAAGAAACAGCAAGGGATCTTACACTAGTATTACACAGAATATCAAAGAATACACTGTAAGTCAATCGTTATTATCCTTTCTACTTCAGTCACATTTTAAAAAATTAAGTTAAAATTCATTGAAAATGTCTTCTAAATTGCGATTCTTTAACTTTTTCTTTATTCACCTTGACTCAAGTTACTATAACAACACATTAATATAAACATTTGTCTCTAACATATTCTCAGAAGTCTATTTCCTTTATATGTATATGTTTCTGTTGTTCAAATATCAATAATGTATAGATCTAAAATCAAACGGGGGGCCTTCATTGCGCAATACAGAGAAAATGTAATAGAACATAGCAGGCAATATGGAGGAGTGAAGAACCACCTACTGATGAACTGATTTAAAAAAAATCTTGGACTGTGCCGAAATGGACAGACTGACTTTGTCTCTGAAGGAGAAAGAGAATACATACTTCTATCAAACTTGGAACTCTTTTTATTATTGGCTAGAGAAATGGGACTATGCATAGATTTAAATATGTTTACGGAGTACTATAAAAAAAAAAGTATGGGGGGCTGACCCAGTAGGTCTGTTGTTTCTGATGATTGATGGATTTTAGTTTCTTTTTGTTAGTTGATAGAAAAATACTAAAACTTACTTTAAAAAAAACATAACAGGCAATATTTAGAACATAATAGAACCCATTCATAGTAACCTTTTATTCTTTTCCTAGAGAAAAAGTCAGAGTAAAATTATTATAGTGCCCCATTCACTTGCTCTCCAAGTGTGACGCATATGCATTTATGTACATAACATAAATAATGTATTTTGTGACTCCACAGAGGGCTTTGTTCAGATATTGTCTTGGGCCAAAATAGAATAGTGTTGTGGGAGAGAGAGGGAGAGAGAGAGAGAAAAGAGGTTACTAAAACCTCCATGCACATTTGTATTTTTTTGCTTCATTTTTCTTTCTTTTTCTTCCATCTGGGAGAGGGAGGAGAGTAAGTGTGATTTCAAGACAGAAAAGCATAAAGATAGACAAAGAGATTATGAGAGAGGAGTGAGGCTAAACAAATGAAAAAGCCTTGACCTTGGTGGGCAGCTGTCCTACTTTAGCACTGGAAAGGCTGTGAAAGGATAGTCCAGTGTTTAAAGGGATGCTCGGTGGAAGGCTTGTGCAGCCCAAGGCTGGTCTAAAGGAAATGGCCCTCATAAGCCTGGGAGAAAATATGAAAAATATTTTTTAAAGATAATTTCCCTCTTGGACTACATGTACATTTTGGGGTGAGTTGTGAGTTGGGCAGATTTGTGTATTTTCAGAAGAATGAATTGTGGAAGTATGACTTGGTGCAAGTGCACATAAGATCCTACAAGTGAGCAGACCATGGAATAAAACATGCTTAATTACCTACATAATGGAAGCAGAATAAATTTAATAAAGTCCACACAGATTCCTTGCTAGAAGTTCTACTGCAATATTGAATTTGATTTGATAAATGCCAGCTATGTGAAGTGCCAACATCTTGCTGCCACTCAGCAGTGGAAGGGCAGTAATGTGATATCCCAGAATGGACTAGAAGAGTGGATTCCCTGTGATTTTTCACTGAGAAGTCCAGGAATATTTGTGGTTGGACCAGAGGTTGCCAGGGCCAAGTACTGGCTCAGCCATGAAGCTCTTTGAACCAGCAGCTCTCTTGCTCAGCCTAACCTAGCTCACACAGTTGTTGTGAAGATCAAAATGGATGGGATAACCTTGTACAAAGGGATAACCAGCAACAGTGACATATGCTCTAGTAACCTCCTGGTTGGACTATTGTAACACACTCTACATGGGGCTGCCCTTGAAAATGGCTCAGATACTTCAAATGCTGCAAAATAGAGCTGCCAGGTTGCTGTCAGGGACCGGTCATTGCTCCCATATACCTCTGGTCCTCTGTTAGCTTCACTGGCTTCCCATTGAAGTCTGGACCCAATTTAAGGTGCCGGTATTGACTTATAAAGCCCAAAATGGCTTGGACCAGGATACCTGAAGGAACGTCTTTTTCCCTACATGCCCTCTCACCCCTTAAGATCTGCAGCAGAGGCCCTGCTCTGGGAACCCTCCTTGAGGGAGATTAGGAGACAGAATACCCGGAGGAGGGCTTTTCCTGTGGTGGCACCCTGGCCATGGAATGCGCTCCCCAGAGAGGTCCGCCTGGCACTGACATTATATGCTTTTCGGCACCAGGTCAAGACCTTTTTATTCACCCAGTATTTTAATGTTTAAAAGATTTTAATTATGTTTACTTCAGTCATGGGTTGTTAATCTTATTAACATTTTAATAAGTATTAAATGATATTTACGATCTTGTATATTGATCTTGTATTTATGTATTTCAAATTTATGATATTTATGATCTTGTATATTGTTGTATTTATCGAATCTTGTTTGTAAACCATTCAGAGATGCATAGTGATTGGACGGGTTAGAAATATCCCAAATACATAAATAAATACATAAATAAAGACACCCCCCCACCCCTTGAGAAACCTGGAGGAAAGGAAAGATAGACATGTGGTAAATAAATAAGGACAGTCAAGCTTCCCAGAAAGTTCTTCCTTTGAATATGGTTGCTTCATTTAGCTATGCTAGACCTAGCTTCCGCGAATTACTCAATTCCTTATCAGCATCACTGCCAGCATCATTCACTAAATGTATATGTCACTTCTGACCCCAACAAGCAGTCTCAAAGCAACTTACACATAATGGAGAAACCTATGATTAATAGAACAGGGGGGACCAGACCCAAAATCAATAAAAAGCATAATAAGCACAATAATACAAAGAATAAATCCCATAAAACATAATCTAAAGAGAATAAAATGTGAAAACTGTTCATCCATGAATTCACATCTCCCCACTCTCCCAGCCCACACCCAGGGGGCTGTAAGTAATGTCAAAATGCCTGGAAGAATAACTATGTTGTGGGCTCTGTTAACTATGCTGCCTGGCTGCTCCAAACTAGTATTTTCTCTAAAACACCCAGACAGCTTGGATTTCAGCTTCCATCATTCCCAATCAGTCTTGTCTATGGTCAAGGATTTTAGAAGCTGTAGCCCAAAAGATTTGGGCAACATCAGGCTAGGGAAGGCTGGCTTAGTCCCAGTCAGCAGCCTGAACACCCAGTTCTGCACTAGCTGCAATTCCAGACTGTCTTCTGCCTGAGACAAGGCAAGACCCCAGTGAAAAACCTCAAGCAGTAATCAGACCCAGTGGCTCCCAGAGCATTAAGGCTAGATTCTGGCTGTGAAAGTTGGACCATAAGGAAGGCTGAGCGCCGAAGGATTGAGACCTTTGAATTGTGGTGCTGGAGGATACTCCTGGGAGTCACTTGGACAGCAAGGCGATCAAACCGATCAGTCCTAGAGGAGATCAACCCTGACTGCTGTTTAGAAGGCCAGATACTGAAGATGAAACTCAAATACTTTGGCCACCTAATGAGAAGGAAGGACTCCCTGGAGAAGAGCCTGATGCTGGAAATGATTGATGGCAAAAGAAGAAGGGAATGGCAGAGGATGAGGTGGCTGGATGGAATCACTGAAGCAGTTGGTGTGAGCTTAGGTGGACTCCAGGGGATGGTGGAGGACAGGAGAGCATGGAGGAATGTTGTCCACTTTCCTAAGTGGACAACATTTACTTTACTAAAGAACAACAACAAAATCCCCATTCAGACATAGTCAACTACAGTAATAGGCAACAGTGACAAAAGATCTTCAGGTTGAAAACAAAATTGCATCTGTCTTAGCAACAAAAGCTATTGCCAGACTAGAAGAGCTCCACCATTTATTGTCTGCTGGGACTGGGGAATCTGAATGCATAGAGCTTGTAGACAAACAACATAAGATTGCAGCATTGAGATGAACTCTGGAACTCCCCCTGCACCTGAGCAGCACAAGTTGCATTTCATTGGATCCACCTCCTTGTGCTCTTTGCTTCCCACAAGTTACAGTTTCAGTCTGGTAGAGGAATTCTTGCACAGAGAGGGCCTCTCTGGGCTCCAGAAGTTCATTAATTAGCATCTTTTTAAATGCTTGGCTAGTATTCTCCTATCCTGAGCCATTTCCCCAAACCCTAATTTTAATAAAGCTGGTGCTTATGAACATTTTAATATTAAAGCCCTTGGCTACAGGAAGTCGGGAAACACGTTTTCAAAGACTGCAGATCAAGGATGAGTAAAATGGCTAGCACAACTCCTTCCTTCATTCTCTCTGGGATCTCTACTACTTTCCAGATAAAATATTGTCTTAGAGGCAACTTGATTCTTGTGTGAATGCTTCCAGGCTCAGACTTGGGATAAAAGAGTCAGTCATGCCTATTTGGGTGGCCTTAGGAGAAGGAAGGCTTCTGGGAAAGTTAACTGAGAGCAGAACTCCCCAAACTGTGTGTGCCATGAAGGATAAACTAATTGATTAATTCAGTGCTGCTGTGAGGCTTCCATGCCTACCTGTGGAGCCTGTTACATTTCTGTGTGACAAATTGCTCCACTCTCTTTCCCATGCAGGGTAGCTG